TACTTTCCCCCCCAGTCTTTTTATTTTTATAAATCATTTTTGGAGGCTCTTACAGTTCTTATAACAATCCATACATCAATTTTTAAAATCATTTTATTAGGGGCTCATACAACTCTTATCACAATCCATACATACATCAATTGTGTAAAGCACATTTGTACATTCATTGCCCTCATTCTCAAAACATTTCCTCTCCACTTAAGCCCCTGGCATTAGGTCCTCATTTTCCCCCTCCCTCCCTGTTCCCACCTCCCTCATGAACACTTGATAATTTATAAATCATTATTTTGTCATATCTTGCCCTGTCTGACATCTCCCTTCACCTACTTTTCTGTTGTCCGTCCCCTAGGGAGGAGATCATATAGTTCCTTGTAATCGGTTCCCTCTTTCCTACCTACTCTCCCAGTATCGCCACTCACACCACTGGTCCTGAAGGGATCATCTGTACTGGATTCCCTGTGTTTCCAGTTCCTATCTGTACCAGTGTACATCCTCTGGTCTAGCCAGACTTGCAAGGTAGAATTCATGTCATGATAGTGGGAGTGGTAGGAAGCATTTAGGAACTAGAGGAAAGTTGTATTTTTCATCGTTGCTACATCACACCCTGACTGGCTTGTCTCCTCCCTGAGACCCCTATGCAAGGGGATCTCCAGTGGCCTGCTAATGGGCTTTAGGTCTCCACTCTGCACTCCCCCCATCATTCACTATGGTAAGATTTTTGTTCTGATGATGCCTGATACCTGATCCCTTTGACACCTTGTGATCGCACAGGCTGGTGTGCTTCTTCCATGTGGGTTTTGTTGCTTCTGAGCTAGATGGCCGCTTGTTTACCTTCAAGCCTTTAAGACCCCAGACACTATACCTTTTGATAGCCAGGCACCATCAGCTTTGTTGTTGTTGTTCTGTTGTTTATTGTTGCTTTGTTGTTGTGGTTGTTGTTCTGTGGTATATTGTCCTTGGATTTCTTGACTGCTGCTTCCATAAGCATTGGTTGTGGATCCAAGCAAAATTGAAATCCTTGACAATATCAATATTTTTTCTATTTATCATGATGTTTTCTGTTGATCCACCTGTGAGAATTTTGGTTTTCTTTACATTGAGTTGTTGTGTTAGACAGGGTTCTCTAGAGAAACAAAACCAGGACACTTATGATTTTATATATGTATGTGGATATATACAGCACAAAGGAATATAACAGCTAATAAGTCCACACAGCAGTACAGAGGTCTCAGTTCAACTCACTTCCATGTAACAGTTAATATATTGCAAGTCCTTCAACTCCCAAGGGCTGCTGGGTTCAAGGTCAAGGAAGCAGACAGCTGAATCTTCCCTAGAGCAACGCAGGCAGTCCAATCACAGGCAGCAAACAGCAGGGTGGGTCATCAACTGTCAGCCAGATGACAGGATCCAACAGTCCCAAGCTCAAGCCATGTATACACCAACGGTGTAGCGAAGCTGGTCTCAAAGGAACCTCGAGCTCTAGCGACATGGTCCATGGGTTGTATAGCTCACAAGTTGGGGCAGAGAACTAGCTAAGGCAGCTGTACACTGGTCCAATCACCAGAGAATAAGAGAGAAAGGTGGGGCTCGCCGAACCATTTATCTCTTTGTCCTCCAATCAAACGTTGACCTTATTAATCCCACATGTTCTCATTGGCCAAGTTGGCACAATAAACCTATATACCACAGTTGTAATCAATACTGAAGGCTGTATTCTGTGATCTCCATCAGTAGGTGCTCAAATCCTCTTGGCTTTCAGCAAGTAAGATTGTATCTTCTCATAGCATATCACAAGGTTTGTGTCATCACAAGCATATCACAGGTTATTGATGAGCCTTCCTCCAATCCCAATGCCATACTCTTCTTCATATAGGCCAGCTTCTGGGATAAGTTTGGTGAAAGGATACAACCCTGACACATTTTCCCTGATTTTCAGCAACATAATATTTCATGCCCCTTTGCTTCGTGGTCTATCTATACATTCTTTGTGAGCACAATTAAGCATTAAATTCTTCACAATGGTATCCATAGTTTATGATTCACACTGTAAATTGCTTTTGCCTAGCCCATAAAACACAAGTAAACAGGGGGAAGTGGGGAGGGAGAGGGTAAAAATGAGATGATGCCAGGGGCTTAAGTGGAGAGCAAATGCTTTAAGAAAGATGAGGGCAACGAATGTACAAATGTGCTTTACACAATTGATCTATGTATGGATTGTGATAAGAGTTACATGAGCCCCCAATAAAACGATTTTTAAAAAAGAAAATAGAAGTAAAAACCAAGAACTGTATTTTCATTAAAAAAAACAAACACAAGTAAACATTTTTCTGTTATGTTGCTTTCAGCCATGATCCATCTAACATCAGCAACCAAATCCCTCGAGCTACATCTTCTTCTGAATCTGGCTTGAATTTCTGGCAGCACGATTTTACTTGCATGTGATAGCATTGATACTGCTTGATAATCCACATACTCTGTTGGATTCCCTTTCTTTGGTAATGGTAATGGGAACAACTATGGATTTCTTCCAGTCAGTTGGCCAAATAACTGTCTTAAAATTTATTGGCATGTACTAGTGAGTGCTCCCAGGGCTTCATTTTGTTGAAACTAAAGCTTCCAGGGCTTCATCAGTTTTTGAAACGTTTCAATTGATATTCTCTGTCCATTCCTGTAGCTTTGGTTTCTGCTAATGCCTTCAGTGCAATTTGGACTTTCTCCTTCAATGTCATTGGCTCTTGATTGTGTGCTACCTTCTGAAATGGTTGAATGCTGAGATAGTTTATTGTGCCAGCCTGGCCGATATACTGAAGGGCAGAGAGATAAATGGCTTGGTGAGCCTCGTCTTTCTTGTCTCTCGCTCTTTGATCATCGGACCAGTGTGCGGCTGCCTTGCTTGTTCTGTGCCTCAATTTAAAGGCTACACTACCTGTGGGATGCCTAGCCTGTGGACTGTGTCGCTGTAAGTTGAGGTCCCTTTAAGATATCGCTGGAGCTGGGGACTGGCGGTTGGTGAGTTGCCTTGTGATTGGCTGCTGTGCTGACATAGCCTAGCTCTCTCTACAAATAGAGGAAGATCTGGCATCAGACAGAGACTTGAAGGACTGCTAGTCTCTCACAACTCTCTCTCACGGGAGTGAGTTGCAGTGAGCCATTTGTAGTGCTTTATAATTTAACCGTTCATTTCTTGTATTATATATTTATCTGTATATGATTTAACAGTTCATTTCTTGTTCTATATTTAATTATCCTTATAAATAAATATATTATCAGCAATTTGGTTTTATCTCTCTAGAGAACCCTGTCTAACACAATGCCAACTAGTACTTTTGGGTGCAATGACACTGTGTAGCCTTTCTTCTTTTGATGCTTCTTGCATCATTCAAAAATTTGCCCATAGACTACTTCAATATTGCAACATAAGGCGTGAACTTTTTATTTTATTTTTTTAGCTTGAGATATACCCTGCATGTTCTTCTTTGATTTTCCTACTCCTGGTTTATTCACTTGGAGCGAACGAAGAGGGAGGAAGAAAGAGAGGGAACGAGAGAGGGAAGAGGAGGAGGAAGAGGGAGAAGAGGATGATGAAGGAATTTATCCCAAGGAAATAGTTCATGCCGTTGTCCTGTAGGTTAGATGACTCCTGATTTAAAGTTGCTGCAGGGGCTGATGAATAATAAGCTAGATGCAGGATCCTGATTGAACAAAAGTCAGAGAGCTTTGCCAGAATTTCCATATATACTGGGAGCAGGCCACACTCCTGAGGAAACACCTTTCAACTAACTGGCTGTTCTCAGCATATTTCAGCATGTGGTGGTGATTACACCACATCTCATTGGAGAATGACTACTAAACCTCTAAGAATCCAGGTCCAGTCGAGTGGACACACAACGGTAACCATCCCAGAAGGGAAAGGAGAAACAGGAAAGTGAAGTGGGGGAGGACGTCTTCCTGACCTATTTAGCTGATTGTTTCTGCTACACTAAGTAAAGCTAAAATGCTAAAAAAGAGATTTCATTGTTTCCACAGGAATTTTTCCTTAAAGCACAATAGGGGGAAAAATGTTAAAAATGAAGTGGCATAGTTTAACATTGTCTACTAAATTCAATTAAACATTATATTTAAATCCATAGGGTGATTAACACTGCACTACAAGATAAAGAAAATGGTTACAGACAATGCATAGGGCATGGGTTTGGGAAATCAATTTAGGTTGATAATTAGTGAATTGCTGGAAAAATGAAATCGTGTTTGGTAACGATGAGGCTGATGATGCAATAGCTGCAGCCAGGGCTCAAACAGCCAAGTGGGGGGCTGGCGCAGAAGGGGTTTGTTTCCATTATCCCGCAGATGGGATCAAAAACAAACTCCTGTGGCAGTGAGAAAGGGGCTAGGGTAGGGAAAGCACAGCTGCTGTTTACTTCATCCGAGATTGCCTCCCGTTCCTGGTTCCCAAGTGTTTTTTGAAATCCAAGTCATCATTCCAATAACTCGGCTGAATCACTTCGGTATCTGCTACAAAACCCTCGGTCACCGAGTCCAGATGTTGCAAAGGAGGCCTTAAATAATTTATTTACAATGAATAAAGAAAGGCAGGAACCGTGTCAGATTCCCCGGTTAGCAAGGTTGCAACTCACAGGAAGCTAGACTTCAGACTTTGGAATGGTTCAAATCTCGGTGAAAACAGAGTCCTTGTTCTGAAGGCCTCTCGTTAACAGGGACACACATAAAAGTGCAAATGTGTGTCCTGTTTTCTGCCTGGTTTTGTAAACAAAGTCTGTTTTGGGTCGGGTCCAACCTAACGCCCTTCCGGATTCCCCAGCGCACAGCGGGGCGGCTCCTGCCCACCACTGAGCCCCAGGCTCCCCTAGCAGCGAACCACCAGCAAGGTCTCTGACGTCAGTGCCAAGGTTCCCGGAATGCCTTGCGGGGCGGGTGGGGCGGACCCGCGGTCACGTGCCGAGCCTGACTTCCGGCCCATCACTTCCGCGTGCGACCGCCGCTTATGTCCGGCGGGGTTTAGGGGATTTCGGTACTGCCTTTCGGCTTCCCTGTTCCCAGCGGGAGGGACATGAGTGTCCCCGAGCCGCCGCCCCCAGACGGGGTCCCCACCGGGCTGCCCGACACCCTGGAGGCGGGGGAGTCGACTTCGGGTATGTGCGGCCCGGGGGTCAGGCCGATGGCGAATGGCCGGCGCCTGCCGGGAGGGGCTGGGCCTCTGGGGCCGCCCCGCGGGAGGAAACTGCCGGCAGCAGTTGCGGCCCTGGGGCTGAAGGGGGCGTTTTCGAGCCTCCCACCCCGTCGTGGGGGGTGGGGGGTTGGAATTGACGTTAACGCTGGGTCCAAAGGGGGGAGCGAAACCAGTCTGGATGGGGACCGGTGTTTGGGGTATGGTCGGGGCATTTGATGGTGGGTTATGTTGAGTGTGCAGAGCCAGCTTTTCGTTTTAAGGCAGTGACTGGGGATCAAGTTGTGAAGATGATGTATCTGTGATTATTGACCACTCGCTCACGACATCCTCTCTCTTGCTTGGTGACGTTACTACATCCCTATTCCTCCAGCAGTCTCTCCCAGCCTGGCTTCCGGGAGAGTTTTAAGCCCTAATGAATCGAGGGCATCATTGATTGCATCGAGTCTAGAATGGTGCTCTCCTGCGTCATCCTGGGGAACATTAGGGAAGTAGGCACTCATTATTTTCTGCGTTCAATGGTCCGGATAAGGAACTCTAGACGAGCAAGGCTTCAGGACGTCGGATGTGGCTTTTATCCCCCAGTTCCAAAACCAAAACAAGACTCTTAGCATTTTTCTTGGTCATATTTTTACTCCCCTCTCCCCCTCTTCAAGCCTCCAGAAAATGACTCTCAGCCACTTGTTTGCTTGGTGGTCCCGCACTTATCTCACATACATCTTGGACTCAAATCACGCAGATGTCTGCTTCCCTTGGGGGGGAGTCACCCTCACCTGACACTTTCAAGTATAACTATACCTTTTCTCTTGCCCCCCCCTCCCCCATCACCTCTCTGTTTAGTCTTGGAGATTTTACTATACAATTTTTTTGCATTTGTATTTACAACCCCCACTGTAAGGCTAGCCCACTTAGGTCTTGTACTCTGCCAGTCCATCTGCCCCACTGCAGTCACATCACTGTTCCAAGATAAAGCTCAGATCATCCCGACTCCACACTGCTTATTAAGTTCACACGCATGAACAGGACAAGGGCTCTCACAGGCTGGTCATCTGGTCTTTGAACTCCCTCTTGCCTGTAGCTCGGAGTTTTTCTGCTCTCCCGCTGCCATTAAGTTGATTCTGATTCCTCTGGACCTTGTGGGTGGAACTGCTTCATAGGGTTTCCGAGACAGGATGAGCAGGCAGCTTCATCCTTCTCCCGGTGCCCTGTCCACTGCAAACCACCTCCCTCTCACTTTACAGAGCGAGCCTTGGTATTTCCGCCTTTCCTCAAGCCACTTCCGTTCTGGGATTGCATCCTTTTCACTCGTGCCTCAGAATTCACACCCATTTTGAAATAGTAATCCTCCTAGACTTTTGGTGAGATTGTAAGTGAGTGCTACCTCTTTAGAGCCAGTTTTACAGTACTTATTTTAAAAATGCATAATCCTACGAAAACAGCATGACTGTGTGAAGATAAGAAAGATAGCTCACTGTAGCTTTGTTCAAAATAGCCAAAACACCAAAAAGCAGTGAAAATATCTATTCTTAGGAGATTGATTAAACAAAGTATGGTAAAAGTATGTTCTGCTAAAAAGAGTACACTGTATATTGATGTGCAACAATATCTAAATCTGTACTAGGGTGAGTAAAAAATTATTGCTACAAAATTATAGGACCCTTTAAGAAACAAAACATGGAAATGTGAAACTATTGTTCTCATTTTTTCTCTAGGTCTACAGACTTCTGAAGGTGGTGTTTTTATTTCTTTATCCCTTACCCTGCAGAATTCTACACTCTTTGATTTACAGTCTTTCCAAACAGCTGCATTGGCTTCCTCAAATGACTAAAATCATGTTCCTTTTAGTTCTTTGAGTTTGGGAACAAAAGACATCCAAAGGGCATGATCAGGGCTGATTGGCTGGGATGAGGGCCAAAAGACATCCAAAGGGCACGATCAGGGCTGATTGGCTGGGATGAGGGTTCCCAGTAATGCTCACAGAACAGCCCTCACGACTCTTGGAGAATGAGCAGGTGCACTGCCAAGACGTTTCCACAGGTCTCCTGGCTTTTCTTTCTCACTGGTGCAGTTTTCCATTTCCCTAAAGCTGCTGCCTAATAAGTTGTGAAGGTCCTGTGCTTTTTGAGAAATTAAATCGGTATTACCCCTTTGGGATCCCCAAAAACAATCTTCACAGCTTTCTGGGCTGAACTCTCTGCCTTTAATTTAATTGGTCGACAGATTCCCTCTAATGACATTGTTTTGATGGGAACCCTCTCCCTTTTTTTTTTTTTTTTTTTAAATTTGTTTCTTGAAGGCACCCTAAGGGGACTAAGACAAGTGTCTTAGTGAGATCATCTGCCTCTGTGGCCAGCCAGTGATCACAGAGACATGTTTAAACACAGTTTGGTTGGAGTAGAATGGAATTCCAGTTGCAATACTCTTTTACTAGCTCTCATATTTCTCAGGGAAGAGTTACAGAGCAGTCTAATATTTCATTTGTGATTAAAGCAAGTTATATCTATGGGAATGCAAAGACTATTTCTGGAAGTGATGTAAGAAAGTCCAAGGGATTCCTTCTGGAATGAGAGAGAGGCAATAGTTTTACTTTTCAGTGTATGGCGCCCTTTGTAGTACTTAACATTTTAACAGTAATGAAGAAAATATCCATTCTTCAAAACTCAGATGACATTCCCACACTTCCTTTGGAATGTTGCGAGCATTGATAGATGAAAGTGCTCTTTCCCTTCCTTGATTCCCACAACTGTTTCCGTTTCTCTAGTAGCACATGTTTCATGACTCACTTGGACTGAGTCTTTCCAGGGAAGGTGTGTTAGTCTGGGTAGACTAGAGAAACAAATTCACAGACACTCATATGTGTGAGAGAGTTTTAGATCAAAGGCTAATTGTATATTAAGAAAACATCCCACCCCAGTCCAGATCAAATCCATAATCCAATATTAGCCCATATGTCCGACACCAATCTATAAAGTCCTCTTCCGACCCATGAAACATATGCAATGACGCCAAATTCAGGCCAGTGGGTGGAAAGTCTTGTGGATCAAGTGGCGGTGGCGGCATCTCAGCACTGACAGGGGTCCCACTGCAGGGGTCCAGGGCACTAGCATAGCTCTATGTGTCGTGTCAGCAAGCATGTCTCAACAGGGAGTGTCTGTGTCGTACCTCCAGCCAGCTGTTTATCTCCTTAGCGCCTCCAAATGAGGTCATCAAACTGTGACGTGATTGATAGGCTAAACTCCACCCCTTCACTCTTAAATCTCAATTTGACAACAGATTATTTAACTACCACAGAAAGGGACTTGCCTTATCCATTATATGGTATCCTCAGAGCTTGGTAAATAAAATAGATGTTCAGCAAATGTTTCTTATAGAAAGAAGTAAGGGTGAGATTCAGTCTTATTTGTAATCTCCCAGAAAAAAATTACTAAATCTATGTTAAAACACGAGTAACCATCATGCTCTGAATAACTAATAAGAAATTGGAGGCTCATGAGTTAAAATTGTGTCTCTACCTAGTTAGTCAGGGATGTATATTTGATGATCCTTTTAATTGAAGGATCCTTATAGTCACACTTCTGTCAGCAATCCCTCTTATCTGTGGGCAATTGGTTCCAGCCTCCATCCCTCAATACCAAAATCCATGGATGTTCAGGTCCCTTAGGAGTATATAAATGGGGGGTAGATTTGCATATCCTTCCATGCACTAAACCAAAAAACAAATCCACTGCCATCAACCCTACATAGGGTTTCCTAAGCTTTGTAAATCAATTTGGGAGCAGAAAACATCACCTTTCTCCTGTGGAGTGACTGGTGGATTTGAGCCACCAACCTTTTGGTAAATCTCTAGATTACCGTATATACTCGAGTCTAAGCTGACTCAAATTTCTGCTGAGGCACCTAATTTTACCACAAAAACTGCATTAAAAACGTGCTGGAAAACTCGGCTTAAACTCCAGTATGTAGGTACTTCTTATACCTAACACAGTGTAAATGCTATGTCTGTAGCGCCTCACGCCCCCTCTTAGCCTTTTGAGGGATTGCTGTATTCACTGACTTCGCGGATTCCCCCGCCCCTTAAGTGTGCTTGATCTGTGTGTGGTTGGATCTACAGATGCCGACCTCCAGATGTGGGGCGCTGAGTGTATTTGTGCTTTCTACTTTCATTGAAGGGATGTTGCTGTTTACACTCTTACTCCAGTCAAGCCTTAGGCAGTTATTAATTGCCATATATAACTTACTTTTTTCCCATTGGAGGCACCATATCCCAAACACTCCGCTTTTCTCATCATTATCTTTATATTATTTGTGAAGTGCTTCCGTTTTTATTTTGCTTATCTGAATGTTAACTTGCAACTTTGAGAATGGCAAAGTTTATATTTCTTTGGATTTTAAAAAAATTCACTTTTAATTTGTCTAAAAACTAATTTTGAATATGAATTTTTCTCAGTCTTGCCAAAAATGCTACCTGGACATGTGTTTAAAAACAATGTGTTGTGATAATGTATTCTATATAATGTTCTAATTTGATGTTACTGATTATTATAATTGAGGTATTTCAGAGGTTAATATTAATGACAAAATGCTGATAATAAGGTTTTAGTAATGTGTCCATCACATGTTTTACATTGATTTTCTTTTTTCCTCATTCTAAATTAGTAAATCTAAGCGCTTAGAAATCTTTGATTGGACCCTGCTCAGAAACTGTTTTGTACTTTTCTCAGTGGGAGCAGTGATGGAGAGTATTTTTAAATATTTCTGAGTACCCGGTACGGTGCTTACACTGTTACTTGACAAAGGAAAACTGTGATGCATAGCTTCTGGTTTCATACTTTGGAACTATAAAAGACATGTCATACAGCAGGTAATTGTTCGTGTACTCTCTTCTTCAGAATCTGTATTGAGTCTTATGAGAAACTCTTAGGAAATCTCTCTTCTCCCTAACCAATGACAAAGCAGGTCCTCTTTTACATATGTATAATGTCAAGCAATAATTAATGTTGACTTATTTTTTCTTCCATTGAATTGGAGAATATTTATAGACTGCATTTTTGTTTACATACTTTCTGCAGGCTTTTTGAACTCAGACACCTTTTAGAATGCTTTGAAAAATACAAGTACTGATGGTGTACTGGTTACGGTTGGCCTGCTAACCACAAGGTCGGCAGTTCGGAACCATCAGCCCCGTGCTCCCTGGGAGGAAGATGGGGCTTCCACTCCCGTGAAGAATAACACTCAGACACTCCCAGGGCCAGCTTTCCCTTGTCCTATAGGGTTGCTATCAGTCAGAATCAACTGGATCGCAGTCAGTTAAAATAAATTTTTTAAAATTTTACTTTTAGCTTTAAGGTTCTTTTGCCCTCCAAAAAAGCCCACCTGACCACCACTGAGTTGATTCTGACTCATAGTGAGTCTACAGGACAGAGAAATACCCGGTGGGTTTCTGAGATTGTAACTTTATGGAACTAGAAAGCCTCATCTTTAACTGTGAGGTACCAGCCCCCACAATCGAATGGATCCAAGGGGCGCTGTGTAATTGAGGGGTAACATTAAAGAGACATCAGACAAGATAAAGCATGCAATTGCTCACCTGTCAACGGCCATGATATCAGCAGCCAGATCCGTGCAGAGAAAGCAAATATATTTCCAATCATGGCTTATATACATTTTCGGGGACATGCCAGCCCCCCTGATTACATCATAATGGGAGCGGGTAGTATCATAGGCATACATGCAATAGGAGGGGGATGAGCTAGGGGTGTACACTCAGTAGGAAGGGGAGGCACTAGGGGCATACATGTGACAAGATGGGCAGACCCTAGAATCAAGATGGCAGCCTAACCTCGGTCCTCCTTGAGTTGGCTTGACTTTATCTTTGGGCTCTCCTTCAGGGAAATAATCCACTATCCTTTTCAGCAGGGAGTGAGCCCCACCCAGGGTGGGACAGATTATAGGTTCTAATTGCTCTAGATTGCTGATAACCCTCAGAGAGAGAACCTCTAAGCAGTTTAACGCTGGTGGTTTCAAACAGCTGACCTTGCGGATCTCAGCCCAATGCATAACCAGTACACAACCAGGGCTCTACCCTAGACATGACCATGTACTAATAACCCAAACTAAACCAAACCAAATCCACATCCACTAAGATGAGTCTGACTCATAGTGGCCTTTTATTGGACTTCCTAGGTTGTAAATTTGTTATGGGTGTAGACAGCCCCGTCTTTCATCTGAGGAGCAGAGCAGGTGATTCCTTGACCTTGAGGTTAGCAATTCAACCCTTACCTAACAGCACCATTTAATAGCTTTAAAAAACATTTTTGAGGCCTCGTAATCCATTTTCTCTGAGAAAGATAAAAGTATTCTTAAAAAATCAACCACTATCAACAAAAATACACACGTGGTTGAGAGGGAGGTTTGTGATCTAAACTCCAAGGGCAGCTTCCTTCCCTTCGTATGAATTCCCTCATCTCTCATATTATGAATCTACCAATCCAAAGCTTCCACGTATTACCCCCTCCCAGGGGGGATGGACAACAGAAAAATGGTCGGTGTAAAACATGGGGAGAAATAACCTTTTAAATAAATTATCAAGGTTCATGAGGGAGGGGAGGAGGGGGAAAAACGAGGAGCTGATACCAAGGGCTGAAGTAGAAAGAAAATGTTTCCAAAATGATGATGGCAGCAAATGTACAAATGCCCCTGACACAGTGGATGTTTGTGTGGAGTGTGGTAAGAGCTGTAAGCCCCCAATGAAATTATTTCAGGAAAAACAAACAAAAGCTTCCTAACTTTGCTTTTTGCTTAGGGACAGATTTAAGCGACACTTCTCCAGAGGAAGGGCTGTTTGAGGGCTTGGCTGTGGAAGACAGAGCCGTGGAGCAGCTGGCAGACGGGCTGCTCTCGCACTATTTGCCGGATCTGCAGAGATCAAAACAGGCGCTCCAGGAACTCACGTAAGATAGCAGCCAGCCGTCTGTGTGCTTGTGCCCGTGCTGATGTCAGTCATAGTTTATGTGTAAGTTATAATGATGCACTGTGTGAAGCAGATAGAGTTTGTAATAGTGAGCCATCATGGAGTACTTAAATTTCTTTACTGAGAGCAAATGTGAGTAGAGAAATACATACTGATAGAAATGTAAAAAGCTGAAATGAATGCTTTTAGAATATTTGAACACTTCGAATAAGTACTCCTCAATCTTATCTATATTCGATTCTTATGCTTGGAAGTTCTTCCCTTGATTTAAAAATCGTTTTATTGGTGTATAACCCACATAGCAAGCAATCTAATCGTGCAGTCATATTAAGAGTTGTGCAGTCTTCGCCACGATAGGTTTAGAGCAGTTTCTTCCGGTCCTCCTGGTTTAGCTCTCCATTACCCCCACGCTCTCCTGCTGTGCCCCTGGGTAACTGTTAATCCAGATACTGTCTGTAGGTTTACCTAGCCGAGATTGCAAATACAGAAAATAATTCAAAACGCACCCAAACAAACAAAAAATCAACAACAGTAACAAAACAAAAGAAAAAGCTCAGTTGAAAAGCAAGCAGGAAATATTGAAAACTGAAACAACATTAAAATGGATCAAACAGAAGGTCAAATGATAAGGTATCGCATTTGCCGTAATGGACTTTACAATGCCCTCTGCCTGATCGCAAGGCTCTCTACATTTCTGGACATGGTCAGAGGGGATTCACTGGAGCTTTAATCCATGTGGGGACCCTGCAAATGGATTTTGGGGTTCTACTGCCATCCACAACCTTCTGTAAACTGCGTGTCATAATTTCACCTCTGAAAACCATTCCTTTCTTTGGATTTAAAAATTTTTGATCCTTGGATTATACAGGCTGCTTTGCTTCTTCCATGTGGACTTAGTTGACTGTATGTTTGAAGAGTCTTAAAGGAGACTTTAAGATGCTATTCTTTCTGATAGCCAGGCACCATCTAGTTTCTGGTATAAAGTTATTTTCTCTTGAGATGTTGGGCGAATAATCCCCTGTTTGCACATTGGGAAATTGCTTCCATAAAAGTCACATTTGTGTTTAGCTTCCGGTTCAAACACGCTACCAGAACTTCAGTATCTTGCTTAGAGATGCCTTGCCTCGGAAGTACAGAGTAGCAAGGTACTCAGCGGGAACAGCCTGTTTATCATCCTGCTGGGTGCTTTTACCATCTGTTGTATTTCACCTTCTGTGTGCTCTTGTTAGAGTGAAGGGACAATTTCAAATCATACTCGTCTAGATGACTCCTCAATGTCACTTAGTCCTGTGATGATGACACTGGTTGAACCTTTTCTTCCTCGATCGAATTTTAAAGAGAAACCTTAGAAGTCCTGCTGGTTTGATCTTCTCGCTTTATAGATGAGGAACCTTAGGCCCAGAGAAATACAGGCAGTCCTCAGGTTGTGAACATCTGACATAAGGACAACTTGTCCTTGTCCTTTAACACAAGGCAAATTTACCCTCCCTCTGAAACAACCGAACCAACTCTTCAGCTGTGACGTTTACTTGCTGTCCAATGCAGCTGTTCAGTGATTGACATGGTGTCGAGCCTCTCATGCATATGATCTGGCGCTTCCCTACAAATCAGACCTACAGACACACTTGGGAAGGTATCTCCTTGGCAACCAGGAAACCGCCTGTAAACGGAATTTCCAGATGACGTACAACTGGTTATTGGGAGGTGTATCTTGTGGTTCCTAGTCATGTGCTGCTTCCATCTCATTTTTTACTTATTCATTTTGAGTTGTTATTCATTGATACTGAATCTTTCAAACTCTACTTTGAAACGTAATTGCTTTTCATTTCCTTTTAGAGAATCTCCCAAAGATACGATTGGTAAAACACACAGCTATTCTTCTAGGGGGACAATACGAAGTTGCCCCAGATAATTTTAAATGATGTGTTTGTTTTAGGTCTTAGAGTTTGAACATGAAGAATACAAATAAGTTACGCTACATCAGATAAGCTTTGGAGGTCATGTCTCTGCAAGTGGTTTTACATACTTCCAGCTTAATTCCTAGCCTTCAACATTAGCTAATACTTATAGAATAGAAGTTAATTTTGGCTGTGTGCTTGTGTTTCAGACAGAACCAAGTTGTATTATTAGACACACTGGAGCAAGAGATTTCAAAATTTAAGGAATGCCATTCTATGTTGGATATTAATGCTTTGGTAAGTATGATTTAAATGACCTCTTCTTTTTAAAATAGCTAGGATGAGCCTTTTTAAACTTAGCTTTGTATTTACACATGTTTAGGGTCTTTTCCTCTAATTAAAAAAAATGTATAATTTGTCTCTCAATAGGAAATTTTGATTTACTGTACTAGACCTGGTGTTGTAGTGGTTTTGCATTGGACTGCTTCCCCCAAGGTCAACAGTTTGAAACCACCAATTGCTCCTCGAGAGAAAAGGGGGCTTTCTACTCCTATAAAACATTACAGTCTTAGAAAATCACAGGGGCAGTTCTACCCTGTCCTATAGGATCTGCTATGAGTTGGCATCGACCCAGTGGCAGTGAGTTTGTTTTTGTTGCTTTTCCTAGACTTATTTTCATGAATTAGACTTCTAGTACTGAATTTATGTTAGGGAATTTAACTTATTTATAAGCGTTTGGTCTGTGAATAATTAGAGACTTATAAAGGAGAATCGAAAGGAACTTTAAGTTACTGTTTTCACTTCTAAGGAAAACTAATCTTCATTTAGCTATCAGTTAAAATTTTGTTTACACTCTACACTGGTATTTGATTTTATTATACGGCATAGTCAGAATGCCAAAGAAAGAAAGTGTTTTGACCCTTTGACAATGATCAATGATCTCTTTCAGTGTAAATGGTAATAGATGAATTTCATCCAAAGCTCTATAAAAAACAAAGCAAAACAACACTGACATTGAGTAGAAAGCAGACTCCTTAGGACAGGGCAGAACTGCTTCTGTGAGTTTCTGAGACTAACTCCTTTATGAGAGTAGAAAGCCCTGTCTTTTTGCGAAGGAGCACACTGCTGACCTTTAGGTTAACAGCCCAATGCATAACCATTATGCCACCAGAGCTATTTAAAAATAATTTTTTATTTTCCGTTGTTACTGAGAATATAGAGAGTAAAACATGCACTAATTCAAGTTTCTATGTGTATAATTCGGTAACGTTGACTGCATTCTTTGAGTTGTGCAACCATTCTTACCATCCTTTTCCAAGTTGTTCCTTCCTCACTAACCTAAACTCACTGCCCCTCAGGTACATATCTCATCTTTCAAGGTGCTATTGTTCTATTTGACCTCCAAAGAGTATAAGTTGCAAGGCAGATATTTATTATTTAAGCTAAATGACTAGTTTTTTTTTTTTGCTGGTATGACCCATTCCTATTTTTCCTCCTCTATGCATGATATCTTTTTAAATTTTTTTTTTAACATTTT